GAGTTGCCAGAAAGAAGTCTTTACTGCACCAATTCCACAAAAAAGCCCAGTTACAATATGCCTGACAACACCTAAACATGCCTCACAGCTTCTGGCACACTAATCTGGAGTGATAACATGGAGACCAAAATAGAGCTTTATGGTCACAACCATAAGCATTATGTTTAGAGAGGGGTCAACAAGGTCTAAAACAAGAATACCATCCCCACAGTGAAGCATAAAGGGCAGATAAGGTGAGCTCTAAAAAGGCACAAATCTTGTGAAAATTGATGACAAGATGAACACAGCATGTTATCTGAAACTACTACTGGCAGACAATTTGCATTCTTCTGCATGAAAGCTACGCATGGGACGCTCTTGGACTTCCCAGCACAACAATGACCCAAATCACAAGGCCAAGTTGACCCTCCAGTGGTTACAGCTGAAAATGGTGAAGGTTCTGAAGTGGCCATTACATTCTCCTGACCTTAATATCATTGAGCCACTCTGGGGAGATCTCAAAACATGAGGGTCATGCATAACATTCAAAAACTCTGCATGGCTTGGAGGCATTTGGCAAACATGAATGGGCAGCTATGCCACCTGCAAGAATTTGGGGCCTCATAGACAAGGGGCAATACACAGTATTAAGAACTAAGGGTATGCAGGCTTTTGAACAGGGGTCATTTAGTCTGTTTACTTGTTGTCATGTTTTCTAACTGTGCCATTCTGTTATGATCTATAGATGAATATGCATAAGAAATAAAAGAAACGTGTTTTGAATGCTCACTCAAGTTTTCTCTAAAAATGGTACATACTATTACCAATTCTCCAAGGGTATGCAAATTTATGAGCACAACTGTATGAATGCACTGTATACAGTAAATAAAAAGTCTTGTGGATCTTTAATCACTTGCCCTCCAGACGATTTACCCCCCTCATGACCAGGCCATTTTTTGTTATATGGAGCTGCGCTACTTTATAATTGTGATATAATATACTTTATGATAATTGTGCGGTCATGTAACACTGTGCACAAATGAAATTTATGTAATTGTCACACAAATGGAGCTTTCTTTTGGTAGTATTTGATCGTCATAAGGTTTTTTTTTTTTTTTTCCACTATTTTTTTTTTACTTTTTGCTATAAAACATATCCAATAAAAAAAATAAATACAATTTCTTCATAAATTTAGACCCAAATGTATTCTGCTACATGCCTTTGGTAAAAAAATTTCCCAATAGGTGTATATTCATTGGTTTGTGGAAAAAGTGATAGAGTTTACAAATGGCTGTATATATATGTATACACTGGAATTTGTATTTATTTTTTATACTAGTAATGGCAGCGATCAGCAACTTATAGAGGAACTGCGATAGTATGGTGGGCATTCTGATATTGGATGGGAACTAACTGCCACTGACATTTCCAGTGACACGGACACTGTACTAATGACACTGGGCAGGAAGGGGTTAAGGTCTTAATGCAAAGATGTGATGATTTGCAATTAAAATGTTAGTTTTTTTTTTTACATGATAATCAATGATACAACACCAACCCCTCAACAGATATTCAACAAAGTGACTCCTACCCAATCTTCTTCTTTTCTTTCAGTTTGGAGGTCAGCCCAGCTTTGGTTTTCTTACTGTCTTTTTCCTTAGGTTTGGACTTGGCTTTCCGCCCACGTTTCTCCTCCTTACCCTCTGAAGAGGAGACGCTGGGGAAGTTGTCAGGGCTCATGACCCGGGGAATGTTCCTCTCACCCCTCTCCTTGGCTTTGGCAATTGCTTCAGATATAATACGATTAGCCTTCTCCTGCTTGCTTTCCGAATCCACCTTTTTTTTAGGGCGCCTCTCAGACACCGATCTCACCTTGGAATTTGGCAGTTTGTGGTAGGTCCGAGACCCATCAAGCTTTTTAGAGGAGGGAGGCTGAAAAAAAAAAAAAAACATTAACAGATTAGCAACTGATCTCATGTTACCAGCTCAAATACAGTCATATCTCTTTCAAATAATCATCTACAGTTTCACGAAATAGCCAGTCATCCTCCACAGCCAGACAGCTTAAACTTTCAGAAAAAAGTCTAGCCAAAACTTTTTTTTATTAGATTATAGTGTGGGGAAGCATCCTCCTGTAGACTTTTACTTCTCTTCAATTTTGCTTGAGGTGATTGTAGCCGTATTAGTGCACTTGCGACAGAAACAATTGAGTACTGACGTGATACTTTTTTTATTTGCACTAACATACAATTTTGAGGACAAGCTTTCGGGGTATGTCCCCTTCTTCAAGGTCCAGGCAGTACTGAATTTTTGAGTACTGCCTGGACCTTGAAGAAGGGGACATACCCTGAAAGCTTGTCCTCAAAATTGTATGTTAGTGCAAATAAAAAAAAGTATCATGTCAGTACTCAATTGTTTCTGACTTCTCTTCAAAAAACCTCTATCCTGTACCACACCTATAAGGTCTTCAAGAGGGTGCATGGCCAATGGAGATACTGTGGAATCTGCAAAATAAAAATAGCACACCAAATGGAAAGACCTCAAATATTTTATCCATGATGGTTTTAGTGTTTTCTGTGTTTTAAATATGTTGTTATTGCAATTAAGACCTCAGTTAAGATGTGAGGTTTTTACCACTTCATGTGCTAGACATTTTTGTTTAACTTCTACCCAGGGCTCTATTAGAAAGTCTCTTCACATGCTATCCTATTTACCACAGTTGTAACATAAAGCAATTCTACAACATTTCAAAAATCAGGATGGCAGTCATTAGCAAGTGGGCATGTCTTATTTTGGTCTATATTATTTTATATTGGATTTGAGGCCACAATTCCAAAAGTAAAATTGATGTGATTGAGAGTGCAGCAGACCTTTCTTTCTTTTTCCAAAAAGCAGTATGAGTAAATTTTAGCTGTGTACAGATTAGTGAGCAAATCTATATATCACTGAATATTTGTAAATTGGGATAACCAGTAGCCAAGTATCAAGTTTTTCCATTCTCCTGAATAACTAGAGTCAACATTGAAGAAGGATCTGGATATACTCTGGTAGAATTTTGTTCAAAATTGTTTTAAAAACGTTTGTTCAATTTTCTATAGGATGAAATCGACTGTGTTTTTTGAGGGATGAGAAAATTCAAAGGAGTCAGGTGTACATTTTTTCTTAAATGAATGAATTTCTAACAGTGTATGGCGTTTTCATTTGGTCAATTTGTTACAAAATTGAACA